TTTCTTTTTTGTCATATCTCTAATCATGTCTCTAAAACATCCACAGCTTAATGTTTTGTTAAAGCGCAAAACGGTATTTTCCTTCTTGTTTGTCAAACAAAATTTTTAAATATTTTGCATATCAAGAAAAATATATTTCAAGGCGTAATGAAAAATTATCTTATGACGGGTCAATCACCATCGGAAAAAAGAGGAGGAGACTGAATCAGCTTTAAGTTTAAAACTAGAAAATAGTAGGTGATGAATTTTATTAAAAAATTCAAATGTGTAGAAGCTCACTACACAAGAAGCGTAACAACTATTAGGCGATATCTTTCATCCGAGTTAAATATAAAAAAATGAAAAGGATGTATATTGACGAAGTAACAGACAATCTAAAAGTTAAAGATTATTATTTTCGAAATATTTTTAACAAATACTTCAACTTTTGGTTTGGAACACCACTAACGAATGTATGTTCTACTTGTTTGTCATTTGATGAGCAAATTAAAGTTAAAACAAATAATGCACATAAAAAAAGACCTATTTATCAACAAACGCGTTTATACACTAAGAGCAAAGGTTTCTTATTCACTACTACGAGAGACTAAAGATGATTTTATTACAACAAGCTTTGACTGTCAAAAAAATCAAGTACTGCCAAAGGTCCTGGATCAAAACACTTACTATAGCCGACAGTTGTATATTTATAACCTTTGCTTTGAACAAGGATCGTCAAAAAATAAGCAAACCAAAGAAAAAACTTTCATGTATACATGGGCCAAAAATAAGTTTCATAAAGGATCCAGTGAGGTAAGTTTCGCTTTATTTCATTGACTTAATGAAACAAATTTGAAAGGCATTAAAACTTTGAGATTGGTCTCCGATGGATGCGGTGGTCAAAATAAAAATAACATTATAGTCGCTACATGCGCTAGATGGTTTTTGGATGCCCGACAAAATTTACATTATATTGAACTTATATACCCAGTCACAATATATCACTCATTTCTTCCTAGCGATCGCGTTTTTGGGAGAATCGAACAAGTGTTGAAGAAAATAGAAATTATTACCAGGCCAGAGCAATACAATGAGGTATTCAGTCAATTTGGCAAAGTAATTCGTATGGGAAAAAATTTTGAAATTGCTAATTGGAAAGAAGAGGAGAGTAGAATGTTAAAAGCTACTGCCTCTTGGCACTTTAAGTTTTCCATTATTAAACGTATTATTTTAACCAAGACTAAAAATGAATTAAACGATTTGGTATGGCGAGAGTCTCACTGTCGAAGCGATATTGGTAAACCAAAAAGTGTTTTTAAGGAGTGCAAAAATTTCAGGATGATTAATTCTGATATTATTGAATTGGGGGTTATTAAAGTTAACCCCTTCAAACTTCGGGATGTTAATAAACTCCTAACAAACATTTTGGAGAAGAGTGTAAAAACTTGAAAACTTTGAAAAAAAAAGAAAATCTTGAGTTTTACCATAAACACGAATAATGATATGCTAGAAAACATTATTGATTCTGTAGAAAATGGAAGAGATATTGAACATATGGAAGGAGAAGCTGATGCTTGTAATGAAATTTCAGATTTATTTGTTTAAAACTTTTTTTTACATAAATATTTGTTTTCAGATTTTTCAATAAAAATTTAGTTTAAAGGAAGATGTGAGTTTTTTTGCATTCATATATATTATAGCGTTTTCTGTTGCAAAATCGGCAATCTCCAAGTGTTTGAAGCAAAACCAGAAATCTCCAAACTCAAATTGTTAATTACTTACAATTTAATTAAATAATTGGTAAAAATAAATTTTTATTAAAAAATTCTATTTCCTGAAAAATTTGTCAATGTGAAGATAGCTGGTTTTGCTTCTTGACCCCACATTATATATATATATATATATATATATATATATATATATATATATATATATATATATATATATATATAATATAAAATTAATGTTTCTTGGGTTTAGGTTCAATAAAAATATGTTACATGTGGAACTAGATTTTATTTTCCATTGCAATCAATCAACGTTTCGGCAGGAAACCCTTGCCTTTGTCAAGATTCTAAAGTGTGTATATATATATATATAAGGACAAACAGATATTTTTAAAATATGTATATATATATATGACTTACCAAAACGTAAAACGTGACACAGGCATTAACGAACTGACATTATAAAAGTTGATATCTGATATCTCATTGTTTACTGTCATTAGTATATAATTATTTTTATATGAGCGTATCGTTGATGTTTTCGAAAAAGGTAAGGTGGAGATATGTTAAGCCTTTAAGAGCTTTTTTATGATGTTATATTATTATTGTTTAAATCAGATTGACATATATTTTATTTAGGTTTTGTGTATCTTTTTTGTCATTTATTGCGTTGGTGTTTCTTTTTATTTCTATTGATTCGTATATCTCCCTCTTCTTTTTGTTTTTTTCTGTTTTTAAAATTCTGATGTTTTCAAAATCAAATTTATGCTTCTTCCCGCTTTCATGTTTTGTGAGCGCAGTGACGTTGTTCTTGTCGTATTTGTGAGAACGAATTCTGGATTGAAGCAGTTGACTGGTTTGACCGATGTAGACACCTTCACAGTTTGTACATGGTATCTCGTAAACAACATGTGATTTTTTAAGTTTTGGAGTTTTGTTTTTAGTTTTGTGAAATATTTATTTAAGAGATTGTTGCCTTTGTGGGCCACTGTTATGCTATGTTTGGCTAAAAGATTGGTTAGTTGTTCAGATAAACCTTTTATATATGGAAGAGTTGTATAAGTGGTTTTGATACTGTTGGGTTTGTTGTTAGTTGTATTGTTATAAAATTTATTGAGTCTTGATTTGAAAATAGTTTCGATTAGATGTTCGGGATATGCATTCTTTAGAAGGGCATTTTTTGCTTTTTTTATTGCAGTTGGTCTGTATTCTGGATATGTTAGTTTTATAGATTTATCAGCGAGACTTATAATTACAGACTTCTTATGGGAAAATGGATGATGGGAATTGTAGTTAAGATATCGTGAAGACCATGTTTCTTTTGTAAACCACATAGTTTTAACTGTATTGTTAATGCGATGTAAGGTGACATCCAGAAAGTTTATTTTATTATTTTGTTCAATTTCTATAGTGAACTTTAATTTTGGATGGTAACTGTTAAAAATATCTAAAATTTCGGTTGTTTTATTTGTTGGAATAGCACAGACACAGTCATCGATATAGCGGTAGAAGAAAGGTACATTAAAATCTAAGTGACTCATGACAGATTCTTCTAAGTCTTCCAGAACCAGCTGGGCAATGACACTAGAGATACTTGCACCCATTGCGCATCCATCTATTTGTTGGTATATTTCGTCTTTATATAAAAAGTATGTTGAGTTTAACGTTAACTCTACAGATGATTGGAATTCTTGCAATGGGATGTTAGTGTATTCTTTTATGTCATTCCACTTCTTTTTAATGATGTCAGTGGCAAGTTTTATTGGAATGTTAGTGTATAGTGAAATGACATCTAAAGAGATTAATTTATAGTTATCCGGTACGTGAATGTTTTTAATTTTAGAAATAAGATCACTGGAATCTTTAATGTAATAAGGATTTTTATTGATGACATTAGAGATAATGTTTTTCAAGAACTTTGAAAGATTTTCGAAGGGTGACTGAATGCAGGAAACGATAGGACGTAGAGGTATGTTCTCCTTGTGTGTTTTAGGTAAACCATAAATTTTTGGTGAATAGCGTTGTGTATCTTAAGTGATTTTGCTGTATTTGGTGATATATATCCACTTTTGTCCCATCTGTCAATAAGAGCATTATTTCTTTTTTGGAAGATATTGGTAGGATCATTTCTAAGTTTATGATATATGGTGTCATCTTTTAAAAGATCATTCATTTTATTGTCGTAATCATTAGATTCCATAATAACGGTTTTGTTAGTTTTATCAGGCTTTAATACAACTACATTAGGATTTTCCCTCAAAAAGGCTTTTGTCTTTTGAATTTTTTTATGTAATTCTTTGTTTTCAAATGAATATTTATTTTTGTTTCTAAAATTGGATAAGATATTACAGCACTTTGTTCTTATTTGATGTTGTGAAGTTTCAAACTTAAAAAATCACATGTTGTTTACGAGATACCATGTACAAACTGTGAAGGTGTCTATATCGGTCAAACCAGTCAACTGCTTCAATCCAGAATTCGTTCTCACAAATACGACAAGAACAACGTCACTGCGCTCACAAAACATGAAAGCGGGAAGAAGCATAAATTTGATTTTGAAAACATCAGAATTTTAAAAACAGAAAAAAACAAAAAGAAGAGGGAGATATACGAATCAATAGAAATAAAAAGAAACACCAACGCAATAAATGACAAAAAAGATACACAAAACCTAAATAAAATATATGTCAATCTGATTTAAACAATAATAATATAACATCATAAAAAGCTCTTAAAGGCATAACATATCTCCACCTTACCTTTTTCGAAAACATCAACGATACGCTCATATAAAAAATCAACTTTTATAATGTCAGTTCGTTAATGCCTGTGTCACGTTTTACGTTTTGGTAAGTCATATATATATACATATTTTAAAATATCTGTTTGTCCTTATATATATACACATTTTAGAATCTTGACAAAGGCAAGGGTTTCCTGCCGAAACGTTGATTGATTGCAATGGAAAATAAAATCTAGTTCCACATGTAACATATTTTTATTGAACCTAAACCCAAGAAACATTAATTTTATATTAAATATAATACGGTTCAAGAAACTCAAAACTACACTATATATATATATATATATATATATATATATATATATATATATATATATATTATATATATATATATATATTATATATATATATTATATATATATATATATATATATATATATATAATTTGAACAGGCGTCAGATATTACTTGTTCATCAACACCTCTACAAATAAAGATTAAAAAATATTGAGAGAGTAGTAACAGTGGCATAGTGGGGGCCTTAAACTAGCCAGTATACAGTCGCTGATTCTTGTTCAATTCCAACATACGCGAAATTGAAGTGAAAGACTGCTAAGGTGAAATTGAAACGGTTACGGGGGACTGTACAATTATCGGTTTTAGTGTTAAATTTTTTTGAGAGAAAATGGCCAGTTTTTGGGCCATTTTTGTTTTTGGAGTTGCATTTACACTTATAGGTAAGTCGGTTTTTTCATTATTTTTTCTAGTATTAAAAATGTCTTTACCAATACATTCAAAATTTATAATTTATGTCTGAGAAAAATAAAATTTTGCCAGTTTTTGTATTAAAATTCTTTTCAGTCAGCCGCATGTTATTGCAGTTCCGAGGTTCTTGCCTCTTATCAAACATACCTGTACGTGGTTGGATATCAATTCAAATACTTCGAAAATATGATCATTGAATAACTTTCGAACGCAATAAAAGCAGAAGATGTGAACTGCTACTTCTCTTTTTTTTCATTTTAAATTTTTTTTATTTTTCCTTTAATCATTTCTATATGTTTTGTTTTTCTTGTTCGAATACTGGTGCACCCATATATCCGTCCAATTTACTTCATTTTTTTCGATATTTCATTCTTTCTTTCTAACACTTTTCCCTTTACATTTGTATTTAAACGTACATATACTTTTCTGTCATCCCGTCTACTAATATAACCTATTAAAACATATTGTCTTCCATCAAAGCCGGAATATGTTATGACCACTATTGTGGATATTCTCTTTTTCTCTTATTTTCCCATTCTTAACATTTTTCCTACATTACATATGGTTTTATTTATTCGCTCGTTTACAATCGCCACTTTGACGACTGTTGTTTTGTTTATTTTTGCAGCTTATCTTTATAAGGAAATTATCCAAATTTTTGTCTTAAACTTCAAACATAAACCCGTTCAGATTCTGTAACCAAGACCAGCTATTAAATTTTGAGAACCTCTTAGTTGATTCGTAAACTTAAGCCCTTAAAAAATCCACGATTACTCTAAGAATACAATAAGATATATTAATACGAGAGAGTTTTTATTTGAAAAACATTTTTTTATAATAAGACCACACTTTTCAATTCTTTAAAATTCAAAAAATCCTAATTTTTGTCTTTAAAAATTTAGTTTAACGATTTTAGTAATTTTCAAAATTTGTTAAATAAGTACATTATAATGTAGAATTTATTCATCCTTTACATTTTCAATATTATCTTGTATTTATGTTTAATTAATTTATTTTGATTATCATTGGATTTCATTATAATGGATTTAAAAAACTAAAAATTTCTCCTCGACAGGGAATCGAACTCCAGTCATTCCCGTGAGAAGTAAAATTAGCCATATCGATCCAGTCGTTCTCGAGTTTAGTAAAAAAAATAAACTGACGTTTGTTTAAACGACATTTTATTTTTATAATAAATGTATATGTATGTATTTTATGTATATTACTACATACCGCAAGGTTATTGGCCTCTACAGCTTCTATTATTTGTTTGTTGGAATAACTCTACTATCCTTTAGAGTTTCTTTTGTAGTTGAGGAAAGACAAGATAGTCAAACGACGACAGATCTGGTGAATCAGGTGGGAGTTTGAGTAGTCATCATCATTTTCATTGGCACTACAGCCCTTTATGAGCTAAAGCCTTATTTAGAGCATTCCCCCATACGATCCTATTTCTAGCAACTCTTCTTCATCCTTTGACTTCGATGAATTTTAAGTGGTCTTTTAAGTTGTTCAGGTATCCAAGTTTCGGTCTATATCTAGAAGGTCGTTCCAGTGGTCCTCTTGGGTCGAATACTTTTTTCAACGTCGTATCTCTTCTGACTACATATCCAATCCGTTTGAGGAGTGCTACGTTAATGAATTTCACAACGTCAACTTCCTCGGGGCTTCTATATAACTTGTTGTTGCCGTTTTATCGTCCATAAATTCTTCTTAGAAACCTTTACTTAAATAACAGAGTATTTTTATTTCTTTGTTTCGTATTCCATATCCTCTTCCTTTGTTAACGCTTTAGATGATTTTATCCATGATCAAATTAAAAAGCATGGGGCTCAATGAATTTCCTTGTGTTATTCCGCTGCCTATTTCTATAGGTTCTGTAAGTGGTCCATTTTGTTATTTTGGTAGATGTCTTCGATAGTTTTTATAATATTTAGGAGAACGTTTCTATTATACAGAAGATAGATTGCATCTTTGTGTCTTACTTTGTCAGAACTACAGCAGCTACATCAGGGTATACATTAGATATTGAAACAATGGGATATGCGCCTTAATTGTAGTGGTAATTATTTGTAGATATATTTGCCAATCATTTTTTTTGGACCAAAGATTAGTTACAAATTTAAAGGTTGTTTAGTAGGGACTGTAAGGCGTTTGTTCTAGAACATATCATTGCATACTCTTACACAAATCTTTTGTGTACAATAAGCCAGCTGGTTGCAGTACGACGGCAGTACGACGGAAACAAAAAATTTCCACGAAAAATAATTCATCTTGAACAGTATAATCCACTTAGGTTAAGCATGTTATGCAGAAAAATAACACCATACAAGATTTCTAGGATATTTAGTTTTAAATTTCTCTATAGCATACTCTTCATTTAATTCTGCTTAAAAATAATATTACCAATTTTAGGTAAATAATAAATATTTCAATGCATTCATTGGCTGTTTTATAGACTTCTTCTTTAGCTTCCCTATTACGGTTTATTTCTTCATAAAAGTTTCTCATGTCTATTGCCTTTCTGGTGGTTTTTGGTCTTCCCAGCTTTCGTCTCTCTTGAAATTTCTAATTCGATGCTGGTGTCGTCAGCTTTTCCATTATTTAGACTACGTATTCATATCATTTGAGTTGTTGTTTGTCCACGTTCTATAATTGCACTTTCTTTCCCTGTCTGAATATATGTGCCATCATATACTATTATCATCTCTTAAAATCAGATCTATTGTTTATTCTCCTAGGCACAGATATTTTGTTTCGTTTAAGTTCAGTGTCAGTGCTAACTTTTGATATTGCTCTTTTAGCTTTCTCACTATGTCTGAGCCATCCTTGTCCTCCGTCAAAATATTTTAATCATACAGAAATAAGGTCTACTCATTTCATACGATTTTTTTCATTTTATTAGTTCAGATTAGTTAGTATTTTAATTTTAATGTAGTGTATATGTACATTTTTGTAATACCTTTAACTAACGTATTATTTATAGTTGTCCTTTTTATTATTTCTCATAGTTTCATCATCGGAACATTCTTATATGCTTTCTGTAGTTCTATAAACGTTAGGTGAAGTCTTCTTGCTGTATTCACTTTCTTTACAAATATCTATTTTAAAGTCAATAAATGATCCACATATGATCGACCTGATCTGAACCTACGATAGCATTTTGCTTGTTTATATTCATCTTCAGTTATTTCTTTTATAGCTTTCGCATGCAATCTGTTAACCTGTCCTGGCCTTTGACTGTTTTCAAATTACGCCATATTAAATAAATTTCCGGTTTTTAAATGTTATGTACAGTTTTTATAGTTAAAACTTTTTCTTAATTTGCATTTTAATTAATACTGGTTTTGTTTTACGAAACTGGCGCCAAAAATTGTCATTTTACTATTGTAATAGTTGAGCAGCAGCATATTTTTTGTTGCGCGTCTTGAACAAAAAGCGTCAAAGCTGCAAAATCATGTCATAGATGAAGGAACAGGTAGTGGGTAGAAAATTTATTATCTGCATGCCGTGTGTTTCTTCTGGTTGATTTCGGTAACCTTGATATGTATCACGTTTAGCATTGATAAAGAAGGTGTGTTTATAATTGCAATAAATAGGCATTTTATACCTATACAATGAATAAAATAGAGACGGCCTTGAATGAGAGATTATACTAGACTTTTTGTAGCTTATAGTTATTTTTATATCATTCGGAATATGCAATAAGAAATCAGAAAATCTAGAATCAAAATTTCTAGAGAATATTTTACTAGCAATGTCAGTTTTTTCGTTATTGAATATATATGTATAATTAAACTAAGTTATAATAAAAACATAAAATTTAAGTCAACTTACTTGGATATTTCTTTTTAAGATTGATTAACAGACCAATAATAACGCAGGCCGACAAGCCTGAGACCTTGAAAACAAAGAATACTTTTCCGAAAGTTTTTAGTGCGCTGAATACAAATCTGAGCTCAAAATTGCCAAATTGGTCAGATTTTGATTATAATTATATTTATGGATTGTAGGTTTTTTAACACAAACCACAATTCATTGGAAAAGAAAACAGGCGAAGGCAATGCAGATCCCCACAACAAGAAATAAAAATAACAGATAGGGAAATGAGGACGGCCATAAAAGCAATGAAAAATAAGAAAGCACCGGGTTCTGAAGGCATCTCACCTGAGCTTATAAAAAACGTCTCAAAAAAATTATATTGGTCAACCTGTCAAATTAGAAAAAGAAACAGGGACTGCTTTACGTCAGTTTTCTCAGTCTTGTATTTCAGCAGCAGATTGTATGGCAGCAGTCAGTATATTTGTATTATAGGTCTATGATTATATTACGATAGTAGATCAGTAAGCAGGGGGACTGGATCACTTTGGTAACCTGTTCATCGGGGTCTCCTATGTGAAGGTATCGATGGCCTAGGTTGACCTTGGGGGTGTACAAGAAGTACAAGAAGTGATCGACAATGACCAGAGGGCTGTAAGAAGAGGTAACTTATCTCTAGATGTCTTCTTCAGCTATCCTCTAATCATTTTCGATCACTTCATCAGGACAGGTAATTACACAGTTCAGACAGGTAAGGTGACAAAGGAACAAGTGAGGCAGGTGAGATGACAATTTTTTGGCAAAGAAGAAGAGATCTAGAGGTAAACGACTATCATTCTTACGACCTTCTGATCATTATCAATCACGTCTTCGGGAAATAAGAAAACATCTAGAGATAAGTGATTTCTTACAACCCTCTGGTTATTGTCGATCACTTCTTATAGCTCTTATACACTCTCAATATCAACCTAGGCCATTGGTACCTTCACATCGGAGACCATGATAAACAGATTACCAAAGCGATCCAGCCCCCTACTTACACGTCTACTTACGATATTATATAATACGAAAAACTGCAAAAACCACAACTTTGAACCTTTAGGTTAGGATATCTCAGAAACACCCGGAGCCAGTTTGGCAATTTGGTGCTCAG